GTGTGTGTTTGCACGCGTGCGTGTGTGCGCGCGTGCGTGTGTGTGTGTGCGCACGTGTGTGTGTGTTTGCACGCGTGCATGTGTGTGTGTGTGTGTTTTCTGGCTATTCATTCAAAATAGTGGACAGTGAGTGAGGGTTTGCAAAATTGTATAATAATAATTATAATAATAATAAGCTACTATTGGTAAAAAACAGTAAAAAAGTAGAGCGAACAAGTAACTAAAACCCCAGGAGAAAGTTACGGCAGCTCAGATTGGCTACATGGACCAACTGCATGATATTGGTAATGATACTTTACATGTTAAAAATATCAGTGAATAGTAAAATTTACATAGGAATTTAAGTAAGGTAAACCCATTTATAATAAAGAATACTTGAGACAAGTATGAAAGAACACAAGGCAAATAAATCAGCTGGGTAATGGTATACTGTATCATGATGTGGGATTTTTTCAGGCAGTGTGCAGATTAAGATGATATGGATGTAATACACAAACAAATACTGTAGCATAATTATAGGATAATTAGGATTTTTCTAGCATACATGAAAAATCGCCTAAAACTATTTTAAGTTCCCAGAGAAAAAAGCTCGTGTAGGACAGTAAATGGTCAGGTGTGAAAATACAACAAGAGCACAAAAATTTTTTCATACTCGATGAATAAGGCATTGTGCAAGTTGGTAGTCAGAATGGGTAAGTGAATGAAAGTTAAACTGTGTAGTATATAATAAAATGTTATAGCTGTTATATGTAAAGAGTATCTCTCAATTACGATCATCATATCACAAAGCAGCTACCAAAGGTTTTAAAAAGTAGCTATGAGAGAACAAATGTGCATCCAAAGTTCTCCAGTAGAGCATCCAAAGTTGCCCAGTACTGTACAGAAGATAAGGTCGAGTTAATGTGGATATTTCAGAAAAGAATTAAATAACACAAATACTGTACAGTAGAGGCTAGAGTTTGTGGTGCAGTAAAAAAAGTACTGCCTGATACAGAGGTTATTTGTGCACACTGTCAGATGCATGTGGGAGTACGTACTCCACTCTCTCAGTACTGATCAAACATTACAAAAAAGTACAATGCTTAATAGATGGATTGTCTTGAGAAATTATTAATTTTCACCGAGGTGCATACAGTATTAACATACAGTGAGTTCTGCTATAACGCGTGTTTTGATAACGCGAATTTGCTCTAACGCGATTTATGAATTAGGAACGATATTTGTATAACGCGAACGCTTGTTTGCTATAACGCGATTTTTGCTTACTATTTCTCCAATTTTGTGGTATTAACTGTGAATATAGTAAAGAAGAATATCAACAAGAAGCGTTCTGGTGATAGAATTCCCGGTGATGATCGTAAAAGAAAGGATATAACACTTGAAGAGAAGCTCGATTTTATCAACCTCAAAATCACCCTTCTCCCCCATCAAGTAAAGTGTTACATTTACTGTATGATTTCATTATTAGATATGAATGTAACATTTATTTAGACTGTGCTATCCTTTGTGTTAGGCTAACTACTAAATTTTTTCGATTTCGAGTAATCTGCACCTAACCCTATTTTCTCCATAAGCCCTGTTATTTCTATTACGCGATTTTCTATAACACGATATTTTACAAGAACACAATTATCGCGTTATAGCAGAACTACCTGTACTGCATTGCACTGTGAAACTCACATGACATAAGATAATACAGTACCGTACCTACAGGATTACTATACAGTACAGTACAAGAAAATGTGTCATCACACATCTCTGACATCATTCCAGATAACAAAATTTATAAATGATAAGCCACTAATTACAGTATGTACTGTATTGTACTGTACTGTAAATTACAGTTATATGAAAATCCATGAGTCATTTTCCATGCCAATCAATATCAATTACAATTCTAATGGAATAAGCTTCAAATACGGAGTTTTGTTTTATCTGTCTAGTTAATTACTTTGTACAGTATATATAACATATATTACTGTATTCAGAATTCTTAATGAGAGAAGTTATAAGTGATAATGAAGCACTAAACATTAATGGTAAAGTAATATAAAATATACTGTATGCTATGCAGATGCTGCTGCTGTTTTTATCACGGATAGTGAAGAGGCGTTACAAAAAATTTTTAACAGATTAGTGGAAAAAGGCGAAAAATATGGTTTATGAGCTAATGCTGTAGACTAAAGTAAAGGTTGTTTTCAAATTGGAAAAAATCCTAATGCAAAAATTATGGTGGAAAACAGAGAACCCAAACAAGTGGAAAATTTTGTGTATTTGGGAAGTAATATTAGCTGTGATGGTAGATATACAGAAGAAATCAAAACAAGAATTGGGCAAGCAAAAACAGCATTAAATAAAATAGAAGACCAAATGAAAAGGGACTTTACCTTCAATTTGGGAAAAGGGCTGCTGAAGGGTATTATTTGGAAAGGACTCATGTATGGGTCAGAAGAGTGGACACTTTCAGCAGACACCAGAAAGAGGTTGAAGGCCTTTGAAATGTGGTGTAATAGATAAATGCTAAGAATAAGCTACACTGACAGGAAAACAAATAAAGTACTGTACTAAGATTAACAAAAACATCAAGGGAAATACTTGAAATGTACAGAAAAAGAAAAATGAGATATAGTACTTTGGTCTTATACAGGTAATTAAGGATGGGGGGATAACAGAAATATTAATGGGCAAAGTTGAGGGTAGGAGGGCCAGGGGAAGACAGAGAGTGGGATGGGTGAATGAAATAAAAAACCGAGTCCCCAGAGATATACAAAACCTTAGGGGGCTGGTGAAAACTGCCTGAGAACAGTTTAGAGAGGAAGACTGGTCGCCAACCCTCAGATATGAGGACGGTACTATGATTGGTTGATGTGGTTTTTTTTTATTTTCACAGCCCTTGAGTTAAAGTAATCCCTATACCACAGCTACATAAATAAAACTCTGCCTTACACTACTTCATGAATTTTTCCAATCACTCTTAAGTACATACAGTATCAAATCCACAGAACCTTGTCAATACACTGTACACATTTCTGGATATTACAAATTATATTCATACTTTTTCCATTATTGTACTCTACTCTTTTTTTTTTTAATTGTTCTTTCATTTACAATTTACTGAAATTTTTAAATTTGCTTTCTAAAAATGGGAATTTACTTTTCCTTAATATTTTGTTAGTGATTTCTCTGTGTGAGGAGAACATGAAATGCTGGTGTTAAAACATGTTTTAATCCAGAGGATGGATTTGCATAATTAAGCACTGCATTTAAACATAATGGAAAGCACTGACCTTCATATTTTGTAATTATTTTATAAATATTATTTTCACTGGTGTAATTTTTATAGCAAAATATAAAATGTGAAATTAAGAAAACCCCATTTCACATTTTTTTAGGAAATCATAGTCTCATCAACAACTCATGGTAGAGGCTTGCAACATTAAGATATATTTATAAGAGTAAATGATAAGATCAACCAAACCTTACCTCAGGATCAGGTCTGTTTTATCTGCTATAATAACAGTTTACCTGTATGGCCTCCTTCACTGAATGTTGTTAAAGAGAGTACAGTATATACCATGTTCCAAAGAAGTACTGAACTGTATTAAGATGCAGTTATACATTTTTAAATATTACTTTGTCTTTCTTTGTTATTCTACCATTTTGAATTGTATGCAATAAAAAAAAAAATCATGAGTGAAGATTCTGTCAATTTTTTAAAGAAATAAAGTACTGTAGTAACCTTCTTAATTACTTTCAAAATTCTGTACTGTACAGTACAGAACATGATTTCCTGTCCCAAATTCCAGAAATACTGGGGTATATAGAATTTCAAATGCCTGTGCATATGTAATTTCAACCAAACTGGTGGATAAGTTTTCAAAGATTGCTACTGTGTTTTCTGTAAACCGACATTGCCCTTTCGTTAGTGTTTACCATTTTGAATTTGACGGTTTCATGCTATTCTTACCTATTTCTGTGGTCTTTGCTTTTATTCTGCCTTATAATGGGACCCAACAAGTGTCGAAGTGATAGTGCTATGTGCAGTGTTGTAAAAAGGTAGCATTTTATATTTACCATTATGCAAAATGTTGAAATTCTACAAAAAAGTAGATTTAGGTGAGTTGGTGCCTAACCTGAGATAGCTTTAGCACACAGCTACAGTTTATGGTATAAAATATCAAGGAGCAATGTGAAAAGCTATTAAAATTTGTATGCCGAGTGATTAAAAAAATGGCATGAGAAACACTGAACCATGCATCAAACCAGGTGGGCTGACCGTAATAAACTTGTTTACAATGGCTTAAACAATACTGCATTGAAGGCATGCAGTACTGTGTCTGGGTTACTTTTGTGTAACAAGGTTAGTAAACTATCTATGATTTAAAACATCCATAATTTAAACACTGTTCAGCCCTAAGCAATTCAGTCTAGATATCATGTATAGTATGAACTGGATATGGTCGTTATACCTGAAGTATAATCTTTTTGCAGAAACATATCAACAACTGAGTTACATTTTCATTTGTCATGGGCCCAGTACACTATTACAACTCTCCCATTTTGCATGCCACTTGTCTTGGAGATGTTTCCAGCACCACTTTAACTTCACAACACAGGCAGATTCACAGGTACAGCATTTATATGTACAGTACTGGGTACTTCTTTTGGTATGATGAAAATGTCCACTTCAACAGAACAATGCTACAAATCTATCATTTTAAGGCAATGAGATCCTCTTTTATTAGAACAATATGTACTGTATTATAAAATTATTATCAATGTTCCTGATCCAGATATGTACAGTATATGCGAGAACACAGCCTATATGGCACTCAACCAAAGCCTTGAACTCCTCAGCTCCAAGCTTATAATCCCTTACTTATCTATTGTCTCCAATAGTATGAATTACAGGGGTGTGTCTGATATTTATTTAATTCAAACACATGTATGATAATCTTTTAATAATACTAATCAAAATGAAACTCAAAAGGACTACTTACGCTTTGACTTGCTCTTTCCGAGACATGCTTCTGGAGAGGGTGTGTGGCTTGGTAGTGGCTGTGGTCATGGAGGTGCTAGTTGATGTGGCTGCAGGTACACTTTGAGAATGGGTAGGTTGAGAGTATGAGTGCTGGTGGGGCTGGGGATGGGATTGTGGTTGATGTTGTTGCCGGTTGACAGCAGCTGCAGCGAGGGAAGGGCCGAGTGTTGATGCTGGAGCGCTGACAGTCCGCTGGCCCTCCGGCCGACTGACCGGCACTATCCGCCTACAAAGAAGAAACATCTTGTATTAGCATAACCATTTATTGAGCAGTTGGATATGACAATTTTTTGTAATAAAATAGAAAATTAATACACTCACTTACCCATAGGTTTCTACACTCAGGAACAAGCAAATACCAAACCTCTACAATAAGCCTTACCAGAGATAATGTGAAAACAATAAAGTACAGTATTTTACTCTTTCATTACTAAGGGTAACACACAAGAATTCAACATTATGTATCATCAGTGGCACTGACAACCCACAAAAGTACATGAAATGTATAACTTCGTCCAGTAAAGGTAAATGAGGACAGATAAATACAAAAAGAACTACACAATAAAAGCTAAAAACCTAAAATAAAACATATGAGGAGAACTTAAAGAATGTTCAACAGCTAATACCATTACAGTGGTAGATTTTTTTCAACTCAAAATCAAATTCTCCAAAAAACTGCAACTTTGGTTTGTAGTTAAAATGTATGGCACTAAGCATATCGTAAGTACAGTACAGTACCTCTAACTTTAATGATGAACACTACATGACAAAGGAAGAAATTCAAGCAACAATTCTGGACAGGTAATGACATGTTCACCACTAATGAAATTTCTAAAATAAGTGCTAGATACTTTTCAAATGTGAGACGTTTTCTTGTAAAATATAATTAATACTTCAATACCAAATATTTATATATAAATACTGTACTGTGCAGTAATTCCAAGACAGTTCAACGGATCAGTGTGTGTAATGTAGCTATAACTGCCAGAGCACTAGTGCTGTCTTCAGTTATACGCTTCAGTGTTGTCACATAGTACCTTATCTAAGATAACATATCAGTTAGCCAGGAAACACATACTTCCCACCATCACGAAAATAGCTATTACAGTATGACATTACTACTGTATAGTATATACTGTAAATTATACTACCAGAAAAAAATTTATAGTTAAAAGGAGCAATGAGAAATTCCAATTATAAATTTAATAAAAATTATTAATTTTGCAGAATCCGCATGGGAAGTACAGGTCTCACCATGTTTAAAATTAGCATCTGGGAGCACATGGAAAATATATGTTCAGTGTAAAAGGATTCTATGGTAACAATTTTGTTTAATATCAATTACTGTACTTACTCAATTACAGTACTGTATCTGCAGTCCAAGTATGAACACAAATTTATAAGTCAGTGTAACATTAATCCTTAAAAAATATTACAGTATATGTACAGCCAGTGCGGTACTCACTGTGTTTGGCTGCTGCTTATCGGTACAGTATTAAAAAGTATGGTTATCAAGTGACCCCCAATTTCACCATATGTACTCAATAAGTTTTATCATCACATATTATTTCAATAAACTATTAAACATTATTACTATTAACGCCTCCACTGCAGGACCCCACTTTCATTATTATATTCAGCACAGACACCCCCTGAACACAAGGGACTAGAGCACAGTACAGTACACACCCTTATTGTTCACCAGTATCAATTAATGTCAAGAATTAATGATCAATTATATTATTTTCTTTCATTAATGACATAATACTATAAAGTATTTAAAAAAAAGTATCTGCCAGGATGGGTCCGCTGACTTCCAAAATGCTACATGCAACTCATGATGTCCCGGGAGGTTGGTGTGCGTGGCTCTGTGGCATACTGATCCTACTACATTTGGTGACTGAACTTCATATTAATTATGCCAAAATAAATACACATTGCATTACTTATGCTAAACTACTGTATGTACCAAAATAAAATATGTCCCAATATCTATCATCTGTGGTCTCATGATGTTTCACAATGTGAACCGACACTTTTTTTAAATACTGTACATAAACTCCGTTAAATTGAACTGTACAGTGGTGCAGTACTTATTTGTATTGTATACTTACAGGTAATCAAATTTTTCACACACAAATACAGAACCATGTGATGATTCATAATACAGTATAGTGTATATTGTAAGATCCCATTAATGACCCACACATTGTACAGTATAATATTTATTATTAGAATAAAATTTCTGAATATAAAATGAGTACTGTACAGTACTGTACTCTAATATCACACATTAAAGAAGATGAAAAACTATTGTGCACTGTATACACAAACTTTCTTTAAATGAACAGATATATTGTATCACTCAATCAGAGTACCGTCCTCATATCTAAGGGTTGGCGACCAGTCTTCCTCTCTAAACTGTTCTCAGGCCGTTTTCACCAACCCCCTAAGGTTTTATATATCTCTGGGGACTCAGTTTTTAATTTCATTCACCCACCCCACTCTCTACCTTCCCCTGGCCCTCCTACCCTCAACATTGCCCATTAATATCTCTGTTATTATCCCCTCATCCCCTAATTATATGACCAAAGAACAGTATCTCATTTTTATTTTTCTATACATGTTTTTCGAAATTTTTGCTAATCTTAGTATTTCTTCATTTGTTTTCATGTCAGTGTAACTTATTCTTAGCATTTGTCTAAAACCTCACATTTTAAAGGCTTTCAACCTCTTCCTGGTGTCTGCTGAGTGTCCATGGTTCTCACCCATACATAAGAATATTTAAATTCACATCAATAAAAAGTCTCCATCCATCAAGTGAAATGCAGTACTGTAGTGGCACTGAGAATTAATGAAAGAGTGCCAGGTATATTCACAGTGCTCCACAGTTTTTGGCACCATCAACACAGGGTCAGGCTGTGGCTGTCTTGTGTACCTCTTCCTTGTTCCCCATAATAATAACTATTCTCAATGTAGCAATACACTACCTTTTTCCAGGATAACATTAATATGAATACAGGTTGACAATCCCTTATCCGAAATCCTTGGGGCCAGAGGCATTTTGGAATTTTTCGGTTTTCAGAATGGTTAGTTAGTTAGTTTTTTATTTATTTTTTTTTTTTTGTGTGTGTGTGTGTGTGTGTACAGTGGGGTATGCTATAACGAACGGATCCTACTATGAATATTCCTATAACGAACGGTTTTACCTATAAAATTGAGAATGCTATAACGAACGCAACTCCTACAACGAACGCGGATGAATACGGGACTATTTCGCCTGGCGCATGAATATTGTTGTACCGCGACCCACAACAAGAGCGTCAGGCGCCATCTTTGTCTCATTGTGTAGCCAGTGCACCACTGTTATTGTTGAAATTTCGTCTTTTGGTGTGGAAATTGGCGTTATTTGTATAACTATTTTGTTATACAAGTATACAATTGTAACAATGAGTCGTCCAAAGCGAGTGAGAAAGCTAATAGCCCTTGAAACTAAGAAAGAAATTATAAAGAAACTTGAGAATGGAAGAAGCATTGCGAAACTTAGTGATGAATATGGGATGGCTAAATCGAATATATGTACGATTTTGAAGAATAAAGAGGAGTTAAAAACTGTGCAAGTGGCTAAGGGAATCTTTAGACTTAGCAAAGCATGGTGTAATGTGATTGAAGAGATGGAAAATTTACTCTTAGTGTGGATAAAGGAGAAAGAAATGGCAGGTGGTAACATTAGTGAAGCTATAATTTGTGAGAAGGCCAGACAATTGTTTGAGGACCTTAAAGCCAAGACTCCCAGTGGAAGTGATAGTGATGTGCCAGTGTTTAGGGGTACCTGCATGCTGAATAACACTAGGGTAAGGTAAAGTACCGTATTTTTTACATTTTCCACAGAATTTTTTCAGTGTTAAGTGGTTGTATTTGGGGGCCTGGAACGGATTAATCCTATAACGAACGAATGCTATAACGAACGAGGTTCTGGAGCCAATTACGTTCGTTATAGCATACCCCACTGTATTAGCCCACCTGGGCACAAGTCACTGACCCACATTGGGGCCTGAGGAGAGAAAATATAATAACAATTATAATAATAATAATAATAATAATAATAATAATAATAATAATAATAATAATAATAATAATAATAATTCATAGGTCTAGGTCGCGTTTCTCACTTTTTTTATCTTTTTTCATTCTTGTATTTCTTTATTATTATTATTATTTTATTAATACAGTATTATTGTTATTATTATTATTATAAATTTTATTATTATATTTTATTATTATTATCATTATTATTTTAATTTGGTATATTTTATAATTAAAATTTTTATTTACTATGAATAATTATAATTATTATTATTATAATTAGTATTACTATTACATTTTCGCTCCCCAGGCCCCGATGTGGGTCAGTGATCTATGCCTGGGTGGGCTAATCCCTGTAAAAAAAAAAAAAAAAAAAAATTGCTCCACAAAAAAAAACTTTCGGTTTTCGGAATTTCGGATAAAGGGTTGTCAACCTGTATTAACGATACTGATAACTGTAGGTATATACACTAATTATAAATTATCTGGATTCTAGTACCCACTGCAAAAAAGAACTACATACAGCATGGTATAGTCTGCTGTACATTTCAGATCTAGGTTATAAATCACAGCACAGTATACTAAACCTTTTTGTGTCACTTTCTACTAATTCATGATTATCACCTAATTACTTCCCTTTATATGCTCTCGTAAAGTACTTGATAGTTTTATCTACAGTACCAAAGAATTATATATTAACTGCCTTTTGCCAAATGAATATAGTACAATACAGTACTAGTCTCCTGTCACTAGAGTCACTGATTCATACTCGGGGCATCCTCACTCCACATAGTTGTGTACAGTACTGTACCCAACTTTACTGCTGTGGAATTGAACGCTGTCAGTGTAGGGTTGGCCACTCTGCCTACTTGTGTAATCAGTGAGCTACAGTACTTTACCTAAAGAACAAAACCTATTGGATCCACTTTCACCTTACCTTATAAATGCCTTAAAATACCCCCAAAATAACAAGTGTACTGCATTTTTAATAGTACAATACAGTGCAGTACTGAATACTGTATGTACTGTATACAGTATTAAAATAAACTCCAAAATCTCGCTTTAAATATACAGTACGTACATGATTTGACCCTCTTGGTTTACAGTATGCTCATTTATTGTACTGTACAGTACTGTCTT